GGAGTCTCCTATCGGCAAGGATGAGAACAGGAGTGCATTTCGAATTCGGGGTAGTGTGTGCAGGAAGCACAGGCTCACAAGGTGCTGGGCCTTGTCCCGGCTCTTCAGGCCAGGGTGGGTGGCCTTGGATGAGTCACTAGAATTCTCCTGGCCTCTTTTGGCTCCTCTGCAAAATGAAGGGCTCAGCCCCTGAACCTCTTACTTCATCCCAGCTCTGGGCTTTGGGAGCTGGAGCTGTGAGGAGCACTCATTTCCACACTCTTCCCCCAAGGGCAGGCCGAGCACTGCTGCCATTTCACACACAGGAATGCTGCTGCCACATGGTTGTAAAAGTCATTGTGATGACACTGTGGGGTAACCAAAGGCAGAGCCGGCACTGGGGTCTGACCTTCAAGACTGTGGTCTGGTATCCGGGCAAGAGCCAGAGTCCCTCCCACCAGATGGAGAAAGACTACCTTTGCTGAAGTGCAAAGGTTTTGCAACAAAGAAGTATCTCTTTCACCTGCTCCAACTGGGGATGAGCACTGTGGTTGCTGCTTTCCTGGAGAGAAAGGTCAGTAACCAGCCATGGAGGCCAGGATACAAGCTCAGCTCTGCCCACAGAGTCCCTGCTCCTTCCATCTGCAGTGCTGCCTCCTGATTTAGAGGCCTCTGCTGGCACACCATGGCCCCCAGACTCCCATGATGTGCTCCAACACCAACGAGGCCCTGCCCACCCCTGACACCCTGGCCATGAGCCTTGGGCCCCACAGTGAGCTCCAACACCTGCCATGAGCCTCAGCTCCACCCCCAAAACCACCCTGCAGCTTCCCAGCTGCCCTCTAAGACATGCTAGCGTCCTGGCTCCTGCGTCAGCATCCATTAATATCTCTCTCTCTCTCTCTCTCTCTCTCTCTCTCTCACACACACACACACACGTCCGGAGAGTTCGAGTCTCCTTTTCCTTCCTCAAAATACCCTTCTGTAATGGCAGGAATTCGTCTTTGGGCTCAAGACACAGCTAAACCAGTGAGAAGTTGAGTGCACTCCACCAAACGTGGGGACCCCCAGGGTCCAGACTCCTAATTCCCAGGGAAATGGCTGGAAAACACAGCTGCCCAGGTATCCCCAAACCCACGGCCACACTATAAGCTCTACAGGGAGACCTGCCGTGCCCAGGGGGCTGCTCCAGAACAGAAGCTGGCAGCCTCTGCTACTGAGCATCCACTCCACAGCCTGGGGTGGATGGCACCACACCTCATGTACAGAGAGAGGCTTCCACCTGCTTCAGGTGTCAGGGTCCTGCTCTGCTTGAAACCTCTATCTGGAAGTAAATGGTGCTAGAAGAGCAGGTTCTGGAGGAAAGTCCTTGGTTCAAGCCTCGGCCCTACTATTTCCTAGGGCAGCAAGGAGCTGAGTGGGAGTTTGCCTGTGTACCCAGAACTGGTGCTGGGGGACTAGAGCCAGAAATGGCAGGTACTCGATGCTGTGTTCCAAACACAGGCCCAGACACTTGGGGCCAGCCGTTCACACACCTTGCATGGGGCCTGCTAATAGTCAGCAGAACCAGTCCAGCCACCTCCCCGCCTTCCCGCCTGTGAAAGAAGGGTAGAGATCAGAGAAAAGGAGTCATCAGCCTGCTGGCAGGAAATGCGACCCTCACCCCAGGTCACTGGGGACAAAACCCCAGGGGAACTGCTCAGAGGAATTAGGAAGCAGGGGACCTAGCCACCCCACTCCATGGACAGGTGCTTGCTGAGCTGGGAAGGCTCAGACCCAAGAAGTGTAGACAGGAGAACAAAGCCAGTTGTGGTGAGTCCTAGCAGAGGCCAACCAGCGCCTGGGAGGTCAGAGGGCACCAGGACCTCAGAGGGCAATATCTGCCCCACCTGGGATTTCTATAGGTGGTAAGGTCCCTAGGCAGGCAGAGAATGAAAGGGAGCAGATGGGGACCTGGGAGGAGACACTGGGTGGGCACTAGCACACTGTCTGTGTGGCCACACCTGGAGAAGGGATTGGATGGAAGGAGGATAAGCAGAGAGAGTCAGGATTTATCCACAGAGTCCACGATGTAGATGTGGCCCAGAGGCAGGGCAAGGTGGGAAGTGAACACTCGAGTCACTTGGGACAACCCTGTGCCTCCTCGGGCCAGCACAAGAGGAGGCAGATTGCAGATGGAATGGGAGAAGCTAAGAGCCCAGGACACAGCCTTCTACCCCGAGCCCCAAGCCCCAAGCCCCAAGGCACTGCACTGTGGCAGGTGCCCCAGAGGCTGCAGGGCCCTGTGGGCAAGCACCTCACCAACCCACCCCTCAGAGGAGAGATGATAATACCCTTCTTCCCATGTTATCAGGAAGGCTCCATAGAGACATGTAAGTAAGCTCCAGGCACCGGGCCAGGCACAGAGCACGGGACAGTGACAGTGAAGACTTCCTTCGGCTCCAGGAGCACCGCCCAGTTCCTCTCCAAGTCTCTGCCACACTGCTCCCCTGATGCTGCCCGCTCCTTCTTCCCGGCTGGCCTCCCGAACTGCCACAAAGGGCTCAGGTCCCACCCAAGCCACCCACCTCCTGCAAGTCCCCCTGAGTTACGGCTTCCCTGGCTGGGGTCTGCGCTCTGTACCTCCCCTGCCTGGGGCTCAGCTCGCAGAGGCAGGGTATGCTAGGGTATGTTTCCCCCTTCCAGTACTGTCCCACAAAGCATGCACCAGCGCTCAGATGTCAGACCTGGGTGGAGGGGCTCCCAGCTCCTGGGAGTGAGCTATTTAATTTCCCTTATCCCCTCCCCCCAAAATGGGGACAGTCTCATCACTTTCTTCAGAGGGCTCTTGCAAAGAATAAGGCAAACCAGTTAGAACTGTGCCTAGCAACCAGTACCCAGGAGCTTCTTAATTATTTGCTGCTAGCTCCCTCCCTCCCAAATATGATGAACTTGTTCTGAGATGGGCCCCAGTGGCTGTAACTCCTAAAGCCACCAACCCTCCCCCCTACCCCCACCCGCGTCGCCTGCCCCCTCGCCCACCTGGGGTGTGTGTGGGGGGCAATGTCAGTACTTGAAGTACTTGGGAACTTTGTCTAAGAGAAGGCATGTGGGAGGGAAGAGGGAGAGGGAGAGAGACCTCAGAGCTGAGAGTCAAAGGGTGACCCCTCTATAACTCCCCAGAAACATCAGAATATTTTGTCAGGAGGCCAGTGTATGGCTTTGCTCTGCAGTCTCGGATGCCAGCACTTAGTTAGGGAGCACCTTCTCTGGCCAGCCACTCTGGAGATAGAAAGAGAAATGAGACTCGAGACTCGGAAGACACAAAGAAGCCAGGGCTTGAGGCCTCTTGGCTTGAGTGGCTCTGTCTGCCTGGTCACTCTTTCCCTCGCTCAGCATTTACTTGCCAACCAGCAGATGGTGCAGAAAATGTGCAGCCCTGCCCCTAATCCAGCTGAGTACAGAATTTGCATGTGATTAGCAGAGAGCCATGGCACTGGCCTGTGTTTCCTCTTTACTTCCCCCTTGTTTTTTCCTCTAAAATAGGGACACAAAGATCTCAATACAAGATAAGATCACCAGTGTCACAGTTCTTGAAGTAACATCAACCTACCTGACCTTTACATCTTGCTGGAACAACCCTTTTCAAACCAATTAAAAAAGCTGGAGTGTCTATGATGAAGTTGATGACTGCCTGAACTAGTTTTTGGGCTCAAAAGTAGTATTTGGACAGATAATACCCAGTATCCGTGGATTGGAAAATACGTGGATACTCCAGACTTTCAGAAGCCTACCAAAACAGACCTGTTTTGATAAGAGTATAAAAGCTACTAAATAATACATATGCTATTCTGTAGCCAGACATATTTCCTGCAGATTTTCAGTTAGGGGCTTCCACCACAACAGGGCAATCCTTTTCTACTTTTTCTTGTCTCTCTTTTTTTTTTTAAGCAAAGACATTTACTTTAGAGAAATAGGGACACTGTTAAAAGGAACAGAATTCCTGCCTGTACAAAGCCTCTGTGAGAGAGCTCTTAAATTACCCTCACCGGGTGACACAGGTAGAGTCCTAGTGAAAATGGACATTTTAGTGCTTGGAAGGCTAACGAGGCGGCTCAGATGGGATGAGGATGGCATTGTGTAATCAAACCTTTTTGCATTACTTTACACGGGATTTGCAAAGCACTTTACATTTACTGTACTTTCCTTAGGTCACAGCAGCCAAATCAATTCATGTGTTTTCCCATTAGCTTATTAACAATATGCCTCATAAATCAGCTCCTCTGTGCCTGTAAAAGAGCCCCAGTAAACTTTATGGCTTTTTCTTGGGGTCTCTCAGAGCCGCTCAGACAGCAAGCCTGACCTCCTGCCACAGCAGCTGGGGAGTTGGGTGCTACCCAGTCTGATGTTTAGCCACCCTGGGAGATGAAATCTTAAGCTCTAGTTCATTCAGCAGGGCTCCGAAGCAGGAGGTTTAAAAATATCTCATCCAAAACGGGACAGTCCCGCCCTGCCACCGCTCGAAAAAAGTAATAATAATTAGACATTTTTTAAAAACCCAAAACACAAAAAAACCCGCGTCTGACCCAAATCTGGAGGCCAACACGCAGATGACTTCTCCAGATGATTTCTCCAGGCTCGGACCGGGGACTTTGGGATGAGGAGAGGGAGCAGAAATCCTAGAGTTCAAATCTCCCCCGTGGGCGCTCCACCCGTGGGTGCCAGTTCCGCTGTGTGCGGAAAGCCGCTGCTGCGCCGGGACAGGGGCCCGTACCCCCGGGAAGACGTGCGTGACTCCAGCCCTCACTTTCCTTCTCTTCCCCCTCTTTAGAGAGTGGGGGCGGGGGGGCCACCTGCGAGAAGGGCCGGCAGGTGGGGCAGGGCGCGGGAGACCCCGACCAGTGCCTTTCCCCGTCCCTGCCCTCGGCCCTGGGGCCCCGGGGGCCGCCCCGCAGCCGGCGCCGCGCGCCGGGCCCGGGCCACTGGGCCAGGTGAGCGCCCCCCAGGTGTCCGCCGCCCCCGCGCCGCTCTCCGCGACTCACCTGCGTGAAGTACAAGTTCATGAGCGTGAGCGTGAAGAACTGCAGGCAGACGGGGAAGCAGTAGAGCAGCCAGAAGACGAAGGGGCTGAGCGCGTTGGCCGCCACGAAGTCTTTGAAGTAGAAGGAGAAGAGGACGGTCCGCAGGGAGGCCCAGAGGAGGCAGAGGAAGAGGAAGACGCTCTGGTAGCTAAGCCGCTTGTGGCGGTAGCGCAGCACCAGCCAGAGCTGCGCGTAGATGAACACGAAAAGCAGCGAGTAGAACACGGTGTAGACGATGGTGAGGCCGAGCTTCACGTACGGGGGCACCGCGGGTGTGAGCGTGGGCGGCAGCGAGTCATTGCGGAGGGGGTCCCACGGCGGGGCCTCCATCGGGCCGGGGGCGCAGCTGCGGGGCCGGGGCCGCCTCATCGGGGCTCGCCGCCGCCGCCGCCGCCGCGGGGGTCTCCGAGCATCGCGCTCCGCCCGGAGCCCGGCGACTGGAGGAAAGAAAACAAGCCGCACTTCCTCCCCCGGCACCACATGATTCACTGGGGCGGCCTTTGTCTGCGATTGGCAGGGCCGCGCCCGCCAGCCCCGCGCCCCTGCACTGCCCGCTGCGCCCGCCCGCGCCCGCCCGCGGCCCTGTGGCCCCCGGCCCCACTGCCCTGCGCCGCACGCCCCCCCGCCCCCCGTCGTCCGCGGCCCCCCGACGGCCCCCGCGGCCCCCCGACGGCCCCCCGCCCCGCCCGCCGTCATCCGCGGCCCCCCGCCCCGCCCCCCGTCATCCGCGGCCCCCCGAGGCCCCCCGCCCTGCCCCCCGTCGTCCACGGCCCCCCCAGGACCCCGCCCCGCCCCCGTCATCCACGGCCCCCCGAGGCCCCCCCCCCCGCCCCGCGTCATCCGCGGCCCCCCGACGGCCCCCCGCCCCGCCCCCCGTCATTCACGGCCCCCCGAGGCCCCCCGCCCTGTCCCCCCGTCGTCCACGGCCCCCCCAGGCCCCCGCCCCGCCCCCGTCATCCACGGCCCCCCGAGGCCCCCCCCCCCGCCCCGCGTCATCCGCGGCACCCCGACGGCCCCTGCCCCGACCCCCGTCGTCCACGGTCCCCCCAGGCCCCCCCGCCCCCCGTCATCCACGGCCCCCCGAGGCCCCCCCCGCCCCCCGTCATCCGCGGCACCCCGACGGCCCCCCCCGCCCCCCGTCATCCGCGGCCCCCAGACGGCCCCCGCCCCGCCCCCCGTCGTCCACGGTCCCCCCAGGCCCCCCCGCCCCCCGTCATCCACGGCCCCCCGAGGCCCCCCCGCCCCCCCCCGTCATCTGCGGCCCCCAGACGGCCCCCGCCCCGCCCCCCGTCATCCGCGGCCCCCCGACGGCCCCCCGCCCCGCCCCTCGTCATCCACGGCCCCCCGACGCCGCCTCCCCGCCCCCGTCATCCAAGCCCCCCCCGAGGCCCTCCCCAGCCCCGTCCCCCGTCATCCACGGCCCCCCGAGGCCCCCCGCCCCCCGTCGTCCACCGCCCCCACGCCCACCCGCCCCCTCCGCGTCATCCACCGCCCCCTCCGCCCCCCATCACCCACGCCCCCCCCGACGCCCACCCGCCCCACAGGCCCCCGCCCCCCCCACCGCCCCGCCGTGCGCCCCAGCACCACACAGCCGGCGACTGTCCCCTCCAGACGCCGCCCGCACCCTTCGTGGTTCCACCGCAGACTCAGGCTCGACGCCCTGCCCTGCGCGGCCTCCAGGCCTCCGGGACCGCGCACGCCCGCCCGGCACAGCACCTGCAGCGCCCCCGCAACTACCCGCCCTCGTTCCGTGCTTCCCGTGGTCTCCCGCTATCTGCTGACGTTCGCGTACTCGGTTTGCAGAAGTTCATTCTTTTATTTCAAAACAAAGTTTGTAAGCCCCTTTTTATTTCCCACCACAAATAAAACTAGCTGGGAAGTGGCCCGCGTTCTTCCTTGGACATCTCGGGCTGGGGCGATGTTTATTTCTAAATCCAGAAATGCCCAAGAGTAAGTTTGTTTTTGAGGTCATGTATACCCAGAGAGAGGAAGGGAACCGTGCTGCGGCTCCTGCCTGGTCTTGGTGGTGACCAGAGGGGTCTTTCTCAGGAGATCCACACAGTGCGTGGTGCTGCACCCCTCAACTCCCAGCAGCGCAGCTAGGACCCCGAGGATCTGGGGAGGGGGTCAGTCAGAGCCACTGAGTCCACAGGGCTCAAGAGTGAAGCACTGAGTGAAGTACTCAGTGCTCTGAGTACTGCCTCCCATTCCAATCCAGGCGCGAGGGGTCGGGGGTGGGGGTGGTGTGTTCGCTGGACCCCAAGTCCGCAGAGAGTCACTCCTCCCAGACAGAGAACTTGACTTGGTTTATGCCCCAGGGCATCTCTCTAGCGTTACCCTGGGGTGCTAGGAATTGTGGAGCGCTCAGGGCAGAGAGGAGGTGCCAGACTGACCTCTGGAAGCACATCTGGGCAACCAGTTTGGATAAACAGAGGAAAGAGACCTGGATTTCCAGGGCTCCAGTAATTTCCTGTGACTCCTCTTCTCAACTTTATAGTCAGCTTCGGGCCTAATTGTGTGTTTTTTCTAAAACGGGCCCCGCGGAGCCTGGATCCAGCCCTGTTCTTCCTCTAAATTAGTGTTTACACTTTCCCAATACATTTCAAGTGCTTCATCAAGGCCAAGGGTGCCTTTGGTTTCAAGCTCCTTTTCTCCTTCCTCTTTTTCTTCTCATCGCCAAGGGAAAAATATCCCCCCACCTCTGATCCTGTTTCCCCCAATTCCTAATGCACACAGCAACTGGAGTCATCTTTCTATGAGAATTCTGAGCATGTCGTTCCCAGGCTTAATTCCTTTTACTTGCTCCTCATCGTTCTGAGGATAAAGTCCACTTTCCTACCTTAGCTGACTTCCCTGACTTGTCTCTCTTAAGAGGTGTTACAGTGTTAGACACCTCTTAATTCCCCTACACCTAGAAAACTCTTTCCACCCCTTCCTCCGTCAACTGGCCAAATTCTATTCATCTATAGGGAGGTTACTTCCTCCAGAAAGCCTTCCGGGACTACACCCCCACCATCTACTCAAGATTAATTCAGATGCACCACCTGTGTGCTCACAGAGCAATCTTACATAATTGGCCAGCCCCTGGACTTGTTTGTAAGTTTCCTCAGTCTAGAAACTATGCCTTGTTTACTAATGTTTCCTTGTGCTTGTCTGGCCATTCAAAAACAAAGTTGATATTTTATTATACTGAAAGAATGTCATTTGTCATCAAAGGCTCAGGCTCTGATATTTCTCCTCATCTCTAAGACCTCTATTCACAAAATTACCTTAGGATCCAAGATGGCTGCTGGCTCTCCAACCATTGCACTTACCTCCCAGGCTGGCATTAGCAAGGACAGAAGAGAACTAGAGGGCACTTGTCCTTTCCTATTTGTTAATTCTTCCCAGAAATACTACAGAATGCATCCACTTTCATCTCATTGTTAGAACTTAGTTACCTTAATGAGACAACTGCAAGAGAGATTAGGAAATGTAGTTTTTATTCCATATGGGTAAAAGTCAAGATTCTGTTATTATAGACAAAGTAGAGAATGGATTTGGGCAGGAACTAGCCATGTTTACCAGTATCAAATGTGCTTCTTCCTACCCTTACATTTTTGAAAATAGAAACTATAAAAAATAAAAATGCTTCCACTTGATTTAATGCAACATACCTTGTACACTTGCAAAATATCTTCACTCCTCCCCACAAAAGGTCACACTGAAGGATCATTTTCTATGTCCAGCTTGAAATCCACGATCTGTGAGTGGGTGATAGTCATTCCTCCTTTAATTCTGCCACAACTCCTAGATTAAGTGATCTATTACTACTTTATCCTATATAAACAGAAGAAAATTAAAAGTAAAAAGCAATTAGTTGAAATAGACACAAATATACATATGACACATCGAGAAAGAAAATATAAGGAGTTACAGTCCTTACTTTTTTGCTGGCAGCCACAAGTTTTTAAGTGTTATAAAATTATACCAATTTATGACTCCCCTCTTAAATGCATATTCTAAAACCTCCCTTTTATTAAGCATCTCAGCTAATCAGGAGATAACTTTCATGTCGATGTATGTTAATTTTTTTAACAAAACATTATTTCCCATTGGGCTACCAGTACAAAAGAGCCCATCACGGCTAGATTCTATTGGCTTCCTTTTGCCAATATAACAGCACCTTATATCCCTTTGAATGTCACTACCATCAAAGTCAACACTAATTCCCCCTTTTTGCAATCTCAACCACTGGCATGAGGAATCTGAAATAGCCAGTGTCTCCATTTCCATCTCAAGGGAGCTGTGCTTGAGTCCCCTGGTAGAAGAATTCCTCTTTGGTTGCTATGACCTTCAAACTAGCACAACCCTGAGGACAAAGGATCAGAAACAAAAACTTTGCAAATGGATCATTTGTCATATTAGAGATGCCATCCTCTTGCATCCTGTACCCCTGGCTTCCAGCTGCAGAAGAAACATCATATATTGGCCTTGAGATCAGAAGATAGCCTATGTATACAGGACAGTCATTTTGTCTTTACATGTGTGTCTTCCAGCAGGCACTAAGTCTATAATTGATCATTCCATTATTCTACAAGCCTGGCTGCTACTAAGGGACAGATATTAACCCACCACATTTCTTCTTTTGGTGTAACGGGAGGTCCTTAATCAGCAGCATTACTGTGTGCAATACCATGATGATGAACAAGGCACTCAGAAAGTCTGAGCATGGTAGCGTAGGTGTGGTGGGTAAAGAAAATAAATCTGAGTTCAGAAGCACAGTCTATTCCAGTGAGAGGACAAATCCCTGATCTCCTCCATGAGTAAAGAAGTCTATATAATCTGCTTCCAGGTGGCTATGTAGGACCCCCTCTGAATTTGGAACACTCACAGGTACTGATGCAGGTAAGAGGCCAGGTCAGCCTTGGAAGGGGAAGTCTAAATTGTTAAAAACATAGATAATTTCAGTCTCTGCCTACTTGGTCACTGTGTCTGTGAATCCACTGAATAAGCAGTGGGTTAGCTGGGGAGACAAGTTAACTTACACCCATGGAGCAAGTTAACCTGTCCTCTTGAACATTGAGAGTCTCCAGTGTAACTGGGTCTTTTTTCTTTTTTAAAGATTTTACTTATTTATTCACGAGAGACACAGAGAGAGAGAGAGAGAGAGGCAGAGACATAGGCAGAGGGAGAAGCAGGCTCCCTGCAGGGAGCCCGATGCCAGCAGGACTTGATCCCAGGACCCCAGGATCACCACCTGAGCCAAAGGCAAACACTCAACCGCTGACCCAGCCAGGTGCCCCTGGAACTGGGTCTTTTGGTGACCTGACTTCCAGAGTAACAGCAGGTAGCTCACACTGCACGGTAAACTGACTTTCTTGGTAAGGTGTTTGGTCTCTTCCATGGCCCAGCAGCAAGCCAAGTCTTTTTCTCAAAAGGAAAATAGTTATTTGATAAAGTATGGGGTTGCTCCAAAACACTGAAAATTGACGCTGTGATTCTCCTAATAAGGCT